AAAAAGCCCGGGCCGGGAGAATACCGGCGAATCTTATAATAATAATAATAATAATAATAATAATAAAACAGGATCGACACCATGCCCAACCCTTCTAGGGCAAGGTAGGTGCCTGAGCCGGAGCTTGCAGCTCACAAGACTGTCATTCCCATTAGCCCGCTTTGGGCGGGGATGGCAGACCAGAGAGGCCTAGCTTGTGGCTAGGCCTGGGGGTAGTTGTTCCCAAAGACGAGGAGGTACTTGCACGTCCTCCCATGGGAGACTTAGGTCTCAGACACTGCCAAGACAGGGAGTCAAGGTCGGGCCACCACTTGGAAAAGGCCCAGGCCGCCAGAATACCGGCGAATCTTTAATAATAATAATAATAAATATAAAACAGAACCTAGTCTTAAATGTTTTATTTGTTAGAACGAATCTGAGAATTAAGTTTTTAATAGCAAATGTTGTAGCACGGACCATATGAACGGAAAAATGTTGTAGCACGGAACATATGAACGGAAAAATGTTGTAGCACGGAACATATGAACGGAAAAACGTTGTAGCACGGACCATATGAACGGAAAAATGTTGTAGCACGGACCATATGAACGGAAAAATGTTGTAGCACGGAACATATGAACGGAAAAACGTTGTTTTGAGTTTTCTGCACTGTGAACATTTGAGGTGCTCTCGCGACTAATGTAAAACTTGAATGTGACCAATAAATTATTGTTGTAATAGTGAAGGATATGTATTGTAATGAATGGAAAAAAAATGTGATTTGAACTTAATTGAAATATATAATTTGTAAAGCAAATTTTAATTATCAGTTATGTTTTAAACAACGAAAACATCGATTTCCTGTTAAAATTTTGAAACTTGATCTATTTTCTTTGTGATGCAAGTATAAAAGGCACGTTATTTTTTGATGGAAATATGACTAACAATACTTACTGAAGCGAACATGTTTAGTAGTACAATGTTGGGATGATGAAGAGTTACTGTCTGTTCTCTGGTCTGGAGCCTGGCTTTATATCACCAGCCAGACTCATCAGCCTCTCCCTCCTCGCTCAACCAAGGTCGCATTTGACCAGTTGATTTTCCTCTCTCTGGTTGAAATTAGTTTTGTTTATTGTGTTTAATTTCTTCGACGACACACAAACCTAAGCTTCTTCATTTTAAACTGATTTTTACGGTATTAAATTGTTGCCGAACTATTGACATAATGGTGAAAAATTGATCAAATATTTCGCATTTTAATTATACAGCACAAAACACTTTTGATACTTTGTTTGCTGATGATAAGTTATAAGTCTGGTGAACCTGGAGAGCTGAAGCGTCTTTATGGCCGATGTTATCTTTAGTTATGTAGTTGATAATATTTCAGTAAATAGGACTTATTTTTCTTCCTACCATCATCTGGAGAGGTATCTGTGTTCCCCAGGAACACCTGCTACTTGATGTACCAACGTACGTCATGCATCGGTTCCAGGGCATTGGAGAGAGTGTTATTAGAGATGGAGTAACAGCTGAATTTAGAGCCCAGTGTTCCTGACGCAGAAAATTTATGAAGATCTTTCACCACGCAATAGAAATATTTTTATGAATTTATTTATTTTAAATTATCGTAATAAAACATAAAGAGCGGAAAGTTTAGCTATCTTTATTGTAATGATAATAATAATAATAATAATAATAATAATAATAATAATAATAATAATAATAATAATAATAATAATAATAATAATAATAATATCTTTATTTACTACAAGTACATGTACAAAGCATACAGTCCTAGCTGACATCAATGATACCTGGAGTTTACCTGGAGAGAGTTCCGGGGGTCAACGCCTCCGCGGCCCGGTCTGTGACCAGGCCTCCTGGTGGATCAGAGCCTGATCAACCAGGCTGATATGCTACTACTATATAGAAAGCCGCTTGTTACGCTGAGCATTTCGGGCAAATTTAGTTTTTTCCCAGGATGCGACCCACACCAGTCGACTAACACCCAGGTACCCATTTTACTGATGGGCGAACAGGGACAGGGACAACAGGTGTCTAATGGAAACACGTCCCTAATGTTTTTCCAGCCGTACCGGAGGAGATTCGAACCCCGGATCTCAGTGTGTGAGTTAAGTGCGCTAGCACTCAGGCGTGGGTTATATGTCGAATAAGAAAGATGTGGGAGTAAGCAGAAGTGCTGATGGAATGAGATGAAGTTTCGTGATAAGGGTATGATATTTAGTAGTAGGTATGTGAGAACTGTGGGGACGCGAGTTGTAATGTTTCATTAGGGTTGTGGTAATGAACTGCAATTGTGTAGGAGATTCGGAATAGCAGTTACAGTTAAGTAGACCCAGAAACTACAGCTAGATCTTTAGCAGCAAACTTAGAAGCTGAAACTGTTCTCTTTAAATATCTGTCAGGCCTATTAACTGGAGCTTAAGCATCAAAGACCTTGTTGTAATGGTCTAGCATTTGTAAAAAGCAGGAGACACCTGCTCTAAAGAAGACACTTCACTAATGCAAATTCCTAATCACTTAAGCACTGAAGGAACTGGATCGAGAGCTCAGTACTCTTAACAGACCCATGAATGAACTCAGTGTATCACGCATAGACGATACTGCTCAGTTTTTTAACTTTATAATTAGGCAGATGAAAAGTCCAGACAGTCTGAAATTCACTTTCAAACACAGCTAGGTAAACTACCCAACTTGGTCCCATAAATTTAACTGGTTTCCAAATATTCTTAAAAGAAGGAAAGGACTGGGAGTGTTATGATAACAACGTACAAAATACTGAATGGAATTCATATGGTAGATATGGATGGATTGTTGAAAAGACAGGTAACAGGAATACGAGAACACAACTGAATTTAGAGACACAGGTGAGTCACAGTGATGTTAGAAAATATTTCTTCAGTTTTAGAGTAGTCAGGAAGTGGAACGACCTGGAAAATGGTGTGGTAGAGGAATGATTCGTACATAGCTTTAAAACGAGGTACGATGAGACTCTCAAAGCTAAGAGAGACTGAACCCACTAGCGACCAGTGAATAGGCGGGACCAGAAGCTGAGACACGACCTTTTTCAACTATATATAGTAGAACGTTTACCAAATACCAAGTAAGAACTCACCTTATTAATACTAAGTGCAATAATTTCTTTCACGTTAACAACAAGAAAAATCAGAAAAGATTTTATTCCATTATTATATCTCGATATTTGTGCCTTCAAATGCTCAGTCTCACTGGACCATTCCATATTCACAACTTTTTAACATTTTTCCCCAAATACTCAGCATAACCAGGGACTTTCCATGTGTACTATTAAATGTCATCCAATTTTGTATAAATTGTATATCATGTGAATATAAATTATTATTATTAATATTATTTATGTATCAATGTTACTCTTACATACAAACTACTGCTTAAAGCAAATACTCATCCAGTACTAATTTTCACATTACCTTTTACTTAAATGATTGATAAAATAATTTATAATTTGTATAAGTACACGATAGTAACACAAATGGCTTCTTGTGTATACCACACATCAGCTCCTTGACAAAAACTAACTTAGAGTACATGTTTATGCACATTCTCACAAATGACTATTGCAATATATTTTTTTTGTTCATACTTTGATATTTTTACTTTCATGTTGAAGAGTTAGGATGGATCATTCTACCTGAAGCATTCATCCAAAAATGCACAACAACTACACTCTGTGAATCTTTGAACTCTCATCAGCCTCTTCAGTCTTGTACATCAACAATGATGAGGTCGAGGTTGCACCTTAATAAGTAAGTTTATTCAGGTATACACAAATACAGTTACGAAGATTATCCTACATGACAGTATATATGTGTAGAGAACCTGGGATAACACAAAAAATTCAGACAAAGTGACTTATTTCCATTGTATCAGTTTGAAAGCTTTTTTATAGTTAATGTTCCTAAGTATAATTAAACTTTACTTTACATATCATTATCTGTTATACTTAGTTCTTGTAACACTTCTTCCTGGGAACTCTTTAAGAAAATAACAATATTTGAAAACATATTTCCGTATGTATGTAGCTCATATCAGATATTTACATTGATCAATTGTCAAGTTATTGATTATATATTTTTATATATATATATATATATATATATATATAATATATATATATATATATATATATATATATATATATATATATAAATCTCTATTCAAATAAATATATAGTTGAGCAACATGCACCAAATTTTTTTTTCAACGCACCGGCCGTATCCCACCGAGGCAGGGTGGCCCAAAAAGAAAAACGCAAGTTTCACTTTTTAAATTTAGTAATTTATACAGGAGAAGAGGTTACTAGCCCCTTGCTCCCGGCATTTTAGTCGCCTCTTACAACACGCATGGCTTACGGAGGAAGAATTCTGTTCCACTTCCCCATGGAGATAAGAGGAAATAAACAAGAACAAGAACTAGAAAGAAAATAGAAGAAAACCCAGAGGGGTGTGTATATATATGCTTGTACATGTATGTGTAGTGTGACCTAAGTGTAAGTAGAAGTAGCAAGACGTACCTGAAATCTTGCATGTTAAAGAAACAGAAAAAAGACACCAGCAATCCTACCATCGTGTAAAACAATTACAGGATTCCGTTTTACAAAATTTGTTTGTATACATATTAAATTAAACAATCGTGTCTTGCTAGTAGAAACCAGAAAAATATTAAAACAGTGTTAGAAAAAACTCCCATCAATGCTGACTTAATAATAAGGATAATCATGGTGTCACTTTGTGGTGACTTTTTGCTTATTTAATGGAATGTAAGAGTAGCTCCGGTAGACCATCGACTGCTTAATCCCTTGAAAGTTTATTTACTGACAAAAAACCTGTGTCATAACACAACCGTCCTGTTCCATTGCAAATAAAACACACCAACATTAAGACTTAATAATTTATTAGATGCATTCTGAGGAGTACGTCGTAATAAAAGATTTGTAAAATTAAAGGTGAATGTAGGAAAAATTTTGTGATGAATAGTTTAAAAAACAGACAAATTGAAGAATGAGACACTTATGTAACACACGGGAATCTTTATCGAGGAAGCGTTTCACCACACAGTCGCTTCATCAGTCCAATAGAAAGAAAAGGAGAATAAAGAAAGGAGAGGGGGTTGAGGTAATCAGTCCCTGTTGCCAGTCGTGTGGCGAAACGTTTCCTTATAATAAAGATGAAGATTCCCATATGTTGCATAAGTGTTTCATTCTTCGGGAAAACTTTTGTAAATGAATGATCGAGACAAACAGATTATAATAGTGTAGGCATCATTTAGTAACCATAAGATGGAGCATAACTGGGATGCTTGGCAGTGCCCTGGAAGGACACGGTAGCATGATATCCACTACCGTCAGCCCAGTAATCAACCTCTCGAGTCGACCGTCTGGTAGTTGGACCCAGTAGGAGCCCTTGGCGTTGCCACCGTTACCACTCTCTTGCTGGCCAAAGTTGGTGGCTCCAGCGTTGACGTCATAGTTGAAATTATAAGGAATCGGAGCCTGTGAACACACCAGAATTTACGAATTATTATTCATATGTTATTGTATATCAATTTCATTTTAACAACTGGCATGTACGTATTATATATACATTTTGATAATTGCAATAAAAAACATGGCATGACATACATAGGAAGGTTGTTGGTATCCCCCTGGGAGAGCCACACCTGCGGCCACCAGCATACTCATCAACACCACCTGTGGCAACAAAAAACTCTTACTGTAGAAGAGTGTCGTATTACTACTCTTCAAAACGATTTAGGAAATTAGAATTATTTCTTGAAAACTACGAAACTATTTGTCTATTAATTTTCACTTGACATTCATTACCTTTGAAATAACTTTAAAAACAATTCATAACATAGTCCTGAATATTTTATTTCTTAAAATGATTCTGAGATTTGAATCAGAGTAAAAAGGCACAATACTAGAATACAGAAATAACCCACACATAGAGAAATAAATTTATGATAACGTTTCGGTCCGACTTGGACCACAGAAGCACTTTTGTGTGACTAGTTAATGATCAAACTCTGACCGAAACGTCTTCATTGGTGTCTTTCTTCAATGTTTGGGTTACTGCTGTATCTGAATGGGAGATGTGGAAAAGTGGAAAAAAAATCTATTAATATTATCACGCCAAATGTTATAGCTCAGGAAATGTGGCAAAAAAAAAGCGTACTGAGTTTACTATATGGTGAAACCTGAATGTAACCAATAAATTATTGTTGTAAGATTGAAGGATATTTATTGTGATAGAAGAGAAAGTTTTTGATGCTAATTTTTCAGCGTCTGAAGCTTGAACTATATTTAGCGTGATCGAAGGATGAAAGACATTTTGTGAAGGAAAAGTGAATATTAATTCTCACAGAAGTGAACATGTTTAGTAGTGCTGGGATGGTGAGCAGTAACTGTCTCCTCCCTGGTCTGGAGCCTGGCTTTATACCTCCAGCCAGACTCCCAGTCATCAGCCTCCCACTACACTCAAGCAAGGTCGCATATAACAAATCGGGTTCTCTCTCTTTCTCTGGTTGAAGATAGATCAGAGAGTCATATGCGATATTTCGGACGGCACTCAAACCTAGGCTTCTCTACGTTAAACAGGGTTTTCCGGTACTAAATATTTGGTTAATTATGCATGTAATTGAAAATTTGACGTCTCATTTGTTTAGCGCAATTCACTTGATACACGGTTTATTAATATAGTCATATATTAGATAAGACTGGTTAGCCTGGAGAACAGAAGTCTCTTATGTGATGGTATTTCCAGTGCTGCGATCGGAAGAGGTATCCCTAGGACCCTTGCATCATCTGCCCTCTATCCAAACATACCTCACGAAAGAAACAGTAATAGGGAAGAGCCACAAACTTCATCGTTTTCTCCTTCCAGCCTCTGTAAGGAAGTTTTAGGAGAGTATGAGTGATGCAGAGGAATGTGTGTGAATTACTAGAGCGTTAACGTGAACTGATGGGGTGAATGAGTCCTAAGAGTGTGGGACTGAGGTGAAGTGTGTTAAACTGAGTTTAAAAGAATTCAAGGAAATTGTAATTGAATATAAATAAGTTGTAGGAGAATCTCAATATCCTGTAATGTAGTTCAACGCAGGAGATCGAAAAAGCTGGAGCTAACATGTAGCGGCTCGAAAGCTGGAGTTAAACACTCCTAGCAGGCCTAGGTACTGAAGTTCTATCCTGAATGAAGTAAGTCTCAAGGTCAGAATCTGGAAATTAGATTTATAAACAACTCTTTACCTTTAACACGTCCAAGATAGGAATGTCGACCTTCATAATTTACAGACAGTTAGAAATAAGATCAGAAGCTAGACTCCTGCGGGTAGAGTGGTTATTGTCAGGTTCAAATGCTGAATAATAAATTCAAATTCAAATTCAAATTCAAATTCAAATTCAAAGTTTATTCTCTATAAGGATTACAATGTTGAATTTACAGAATTTGGTTATTGTGTGGTTTACATGTAGTTAAATAATGATTACAGAGTGTACCACTAGAACACCTAGCATGGCTAGGCATTTCGGGGAGACTTAGTTTAATTCTTTATTTTAAAATATTACAAATTATGAGGTAAGTTGGTATTATGGCTAAGTGACTAAATACTAGTTTGTGAGTTTAGCAATGTGAATGCTTTTGTTTTGGCACAATACATAGTTTCAGTATTGGAGTATCACAGGATTCATTATTTTAAGATTGAGATTAATATTTCTGTTTATGGTCAAATGGGTGAGTGAGTGTAAGTGTGAACCACTAGGTAGTATTCGTGTAGTTAGTTGACGGGGTGTATCAAGGAGATAAGATGTTTTCTAATGGTAGTTTTGAAGGTGATGAATGTGTCTGCAGTTCTAGAGTTCTCAGGTAGGGTGTTCCAGATTTTAGGGCCTTTGACATACATTGAATTTTTGTAAAGGTTTAGTCGGACACGGGGAATATCGTAGAGATGTTTGTGTCTGGTGTTATGCCTGTGGGTTCTGTCACAACTATCAAGAAAGCGTTTTAGGTCAAGGTTGATATTGGAGTTTAAGGTCCTGTAGATGTAGATTGCACAGTAGTAAGTGTGGATGTACTGAACAGGGAGTAAATTTAGATCTATGAAGAGTGGGGGGGGGTGTTGCCAGGGATGGGATTTAGTGATTATTCTTATTGCAGCTTTTTGTTGGGTTATTATTGACTTTAGGTGTGTTGCTGCAGTTGATCCCCAAGCACAAATAGCATAGGTGAGGTATGGATAAATAAGTGAGTGGTATAGTGTGAGAAGGGCATTTTGCGGCACATAGTATCATATCTTGGAGAGGATCCCAACCGTTTTGGATACTTTTTTGGTTATGTGTTGGATATGGGTGCTGAAATTCAGTTGTTGTCAAGGTATAGGCCTAGGAATTTGCCCTCATTATGTCTGGTAATTAGAGTGTTGTCGATCTTAATGTTAATTTGTGCATCTCCTGCTCTGCTACCAAACATAATATAGTAGGTTTTTGTCAGTGTTAAGCGTAAGTTTATTGGCTGTCATCCAAGTCGATATTTTGATCAGCTCCTCGTTAACAATGGTGTTGAGGGTGGCAAGATTAGGGTGAGAGATGACATAAGTCGTGTCGTCAGCAAAGAGAATGGGTTTCAGGTGTTGGGATACGTTTGGAAGATCATTGATGTATATGAGGAAGAGCAGGGGACCAAGGACACTTCCCTGCGGAACTCCAGTATCAAGTGGCCGTGTTGTTGATGCTGTGCTTTAATGGTGACATACTGATACCTATTAGTAAGGTAAGATTTGAAATAAGCAAGTGCATGGCCTCTTATCCCCGAAATGGTCAAGTTGTGGAGTAGGATGTCGTGGTCTAACTGTGTCAAAAGCTTTTCTTAGGTCAAAAAAAATTTTCTAGTGGATATCCTTATTTTCCAATGCTGTGTAAAAGCAGATCTAGCATTTTTAAAATTGCATCATTAGTGCTTTTTATTTTTCCTGAATCCAAATTGGCAGGGGTTGAGTATGTTTTGTGCTATTATAAATGAATAAAGTCTCCTGTGCACGAGTTTCTCAAGATTTTGGATAGCAATGGTAAGTTTGATTTTGGGCCTATAGATGTTAAGTCTGTAGGTCACCACCTTTATGTATTGGTGTAACCCTTGCATCTTGATAGTTTGGGGAAGGTGCTAGTTTTCTAGTGACGTTAAAAAGTAATGAAATAGCATGCAAAGGATATGGGCTGCTCGCTTGTACAGTAATGGTGGGACATAAACCCGATTCCCTGAGTTATTTTTAAGTGACTTTATAATCTCGTGACTTCCGAGGGCTCATTTGGTGCAAAAATAGAAGGAATTTGGGAAATTCCCATCTAGGTAGTCCCCAGCAGGGGCATTGGAAATGTGGGATTTTATTGGCGAGATTAGATCCTATGGTTGAGAAGAAGTCGTTATCTTTTTTAGCTGTGTCAGGGGGATGTAGTGGTGTTTCTTTAGGTTTAGTTAGGACAATATTCTTTTTTTTTCAGTTTTGGGTCCCTAGAATCTGAGAGAGTGTTTTCCGGGTCTTTTTTATATCTCCTCTATGTCTTAAAAATCTACTGGAGTAGTATAGTTGTTTGGCTTTTTATTACTTTGGTGAGAACTGATGAATAGTTTTTAAGAATATCTTTGTGTATTAAGCCCTGTCTATATTGCTTTTCATATTGGGTTTTTCTTGTCAAGGGATTTCAGAATGGTGCTGGTTAGCCATGGGCAACCAAGCCGTTTGTTTGTGATCGTTCGTTTTATAGGACAATGTTTGTTGTATAGTCTAAGTAATTTGTTAAGAAAATGTCTGTCCAGTCATCAATACCATTGGCCTTGGAAAATTTTCTGTGGGCCAGTCAACATCTCTGGGTAAAGCTGTGAATTTTTAGGCCTCGTCATGGAGCCCTAAATGAGACTTTGTTGTATTCAAGTGGTGGTTTACTAATTTTGTCAGGAGGAAGGTATTGAGTGGTCTGTAGTGCTATCTGTGATTACCCCTGTTTTAAGGGGGCTAGTATATTGGCCCCATATTTTGGTCTATTATGGTTGCACTTGTCTCAGTGAGCCTGGTTGGTTTTAGTTATTGTTGGTATGAGAAGTGTGTTGTTCATATTGTGATGAAATCATACAGGCTGATCATCTAGTAAGCCAAGGTTGATGTTAAAAGTCTCCAGCTAAGAGAAGGTGGTGCTTATTCATTTGTCTGATTGTTATTATGACTTTAATTTCTCACTGAAATTGGGATGTTTGTGTGGGGTTACCCGGGTAAATGGCACCGATTGTTATAGGTGTCTTTAAAGGGTTTTTTACAGTAAAATTAGCAAAAAAGTATTCCCCCTATTCATTTAATAAAGCAAGTGGTGCTAATACAAGATAATTGGTTAGAGTAATAGATTGCAATACCACCCCCAACTTGGTTTGGTCTGCAGTTGGAATTGCTGTGTATCCTGGTAGAGGGTTAAAATGTTATTTTCCTGTTGGGGTTTTCCAGTAAGAATCTGAGGAGGGGTTTTTGGACAAGGAATGCCAGAGTAATGTGTTTTTAATATAGGAGTTAAGTACATAACTTTTAAAAAGTTAGGTGTCTTGGTTGTGCTGTTAACTAAAGGATACCCCAATAGGTTTTTTTAAATAGTTAATATAACTACAAATTTAAAATAGGAACAAACCTATTGTAATTGCACTAAGGTTTAAATATAATAGATATTTTGGTTAATTATTTTTGAAATGAATGGCTATTTTGTAAGCTAAACAACTAGGGTTTAACTAATAATATAAAAATACAAATTAAAAATAAAACCAAAACTCTCACTTGTAATTGCACTAGGTCTAATATAATGAATTTTTTTGGGGCTATGTTTGAGCTAGAATAGCTATAGTACAACTGATTTAAATCTAATAAATAAAAAAAAAAAGGGACCAAAAACTCCAATTGTAATTGCACTAAGGTCTTATAAAAAGTTGTTTTACAAGAATTCCCGAGTTTTTTAAAAACAAAATTTAAAATTTACAAAGGATAAAATTTTTCAAACGAAATTAAGGTTAAAGCAAAAAATACATTTTAAAAAAATAAAAAAAAAATGATAAAAATAAAAATGGCAATGACTTGGTTATAATATGCTAGTAAGAGGTAGACAGGATAATAAAAAAAGTTGTAGTTGAAAATACTAGTTTAAAAAAGTATAGAATAAAAATGGTCAATAAAAGAAGTTTACAAAAAGTTTTTATCAATATAGTTTAAAGCAAAATTGGCAATAATAGGGGTTTAGAATAAAATTGGGCAATTGAGTATTTCCCTTAAAGTGAGGTAGAAAATTTTTGAAAAGTTATGGCTAGTTTATAATAAAATAAGATGGAACAGTGATGCGTAAGTTGTAAAAAAAGGAGATAGATTCTGAGA